TCTGTCTTGGTAACACTCCCATTTCAATCCTACACATATGCCCCATCCATACAACCTTTCCCTGACTAAGTACGTGGTTGTAGGTTAAGTCACACATACATTGATATTTACAACAATATCAACATTGACAATTATGCTTCCATTTATAAGACCAATAACAAGAATCACATTAACAGTGACGTGTTGTTGAAAATAAATTTGACTGTACCATTTGTATGACAATTATAATGACATTGCTACAGTAATTGGATCAATATTGACTTTCACAGCGAGATCATGGTAAGAACGTTGACATTGACAGCCTCGGCACCCACAACGCTGATTCAGCTGTTGTGGGCTGATACGCGGGTAAAGACGGTGGGCTTGCGGATCGTGTTGCAGTCCAGAGATGAGACGTAGCTGGTAATTCCCTGCACCACCCAGGCATTGTCCCACCGCTGGCAGTTCAGTGGACCACCTCCATCACCCTGTGATGCATACAAGAGGATAGACATGCATCCACGTTAACTCTGGGTAAAGCAGAAATGGGATATGGTGGTAGGTGCTGGCAAGGGTAAGTACAGGAGCTTGGAGCTCTTGTATCGGTATCTGGATTAGACAATTTAGCAAGTGTGCTTTTGGACCGTATTGCTGTGTATTGCCCCGCACTCCTCTGGTAGCTAGGCAAACGTCGCAAGGAAACGTCCAAATATGACAAGTGGCAAATTAATACGCACTCTCTTGGCTCTGGCATTAATTTAATCAATGTTTGTATTTTTTCGTTTGTTCTTTATGGATTGAATTTAGTCATACATAAACGTATTCTCTGGAATTTTTGTCAAATCTTGGTGTCGGTGGATTTCATTTAGTCATTCTCTTAGTCTAGGTGACTAAAGCAGTCACACTATTTGTCCAGTCTGAGTTATTAATTATTGGGGTGGGATGTGCGCCGCCCCCCTCCGCTCCCCCAACATTATCAGGTCACTCTTTGGTTCTTTCGGTAAAGTCACGTATAAAGATAAAATAATAAATTAAATAATAGCATACGACGTTTCGATTGCATCACAGGCAATCATCATCAGGTATAAATGAAATAGCAACACAAATCTAACCAGAAAACTATAGACAGACATATAAGCAGACATATACCACCAAGATACATAGAGAAAGAGCAACACATAGGCACAAAGAAAGAGACAGTCTCTGTGACAAGGCCTTAAATAGAGAGAGGGGGCGGGGGCGGAGAGAGGGAGGGGGTTAGAGAAAAAAATAGCATGTCAATGGGTAGGACGACGGGTGATAAAGTAAGCAAGCTTGAAAATTAGAACGGGAGAGCGACACATTAAATTAAAAAAACCTAGCAAAATATCGAAATGTAATGTAATGCAACACAGTGAGTCAGTCAACACACAATTAACGCATAGCCTGGTCGATTACGTATTTCAAAGATTGCTAAGTTAGAATTTAAGTGTGAAAATTCCAAAGAGAGACAAAACACAAAACACGAGGAACGGAGACACACAGACAGAGCAGAACATAAGAACGACAAAAAACGAGTAGAGACAGAAAAATAACACTAAATACACAGGCAGAGAGAGAAAACAAAAAAACCCAGAGAGAGAGATAAAAAGATCAACTTAAAACTTCCCTGTTATAGAAGTGGTTCAATCTTCATTTTGGAGGTTTCGTGACTGCAGGAATTACTCTTTGTTTCTTTCGGTAAAGTCACGTTTTTTGTCGTTCTTATGTTCTGCTCTGTCTGTGTGTCTCCGTTCCTCGTGTTTTGTGTTTTGTCTCTCTTTGGAATTTTCACACTTAAATTCTAACTATCACGTATGCACCTTATGAAGCTAGACGTGCTAATCGTAGGTGCGGGGGAAGGACAACAAACACAAAAAGCAGTTCTATAGAAAAGAAGCCATTCTAAATAGACCGCAGCATGGAAAGATAAAAGGTAAAAACAACGAGCTTACCTTTACCCTACCTTAGCACAATACAATCACTCTACCCTTACCTTTTACCCTTTAGCAAGGTAAGGTAAAAGGTAAAAGTTCAAAAACAACGAGCCTACCTTTACCTTACCTTTTACCCTTACTCCATACAAATTACCCGATTACAGGGTAATTACTGGAGTACTACACATGACCATGACAAAGGTTTATAACAGGTAAATGCTAGGTAGAACGCTTTATTCATATAAAATACTCTCGAATCGGGCGTTGAGGCTGTCGACGACACCATCCTCCATAACTTCCTCGTCCCAGTCGTCTTGGTCGATGACGATCTCATCAACAACCTGATCAAGTTCATCATTGCCGTCGTCCTGGGATGAACGACGGGCAATAAGATCCTGCGCCGCTCCGGCCCAGTTAGACCTTCAGGCAGCTGGCTGCGATCCACGAGCACAAGCACATGGACTGGATGAAGAGCGTCGAGGACAGTGACTGGCAAACACATGTCAGCTCCCGCCCGGCTCTGCTATTCGTGCGTTCTCAGGGAGTTGTTGTCGCCGGCGCTCCAAAGTAGTCGCAGGCCATCTTGTAGTGGGCAGGGAGCAGCTCTTTGCGGGGAGACCACCGCTGCATTACGTCGATGAAGGCGCTGGCGGTCGTGACGCCCATGCTCATAAAACGATCAACTTCATCGCCGTCGTCTATGGAGCTGCCGACGTTGCTGAACAGGGTGCTGAACAGGGTGCTGAATAGGGTGCTGAACAGGGTGCTGAACAGGGTGCTGAATAGGGTGCTGAACAGTGACCCCTCTTCCATATGGGCAGCGTCTGCCGTCGGCGGGATCGTGAGCACGTCCGAGTAGCGATGCTGCAGGACAGAGCGGATCGTGGCCTTCAGTGTAGCCAACTCGTCTTGGGTCTGTTGTTTTCGGCAGCTGTGGATTAAAGTAGGATGCCACAATGGCGGGTTCCTGAACCAGGAAGTCGTGGTACCACACCAGCTCGGCCTTCATCCTGTCGTGGTCAAGGTCTCATCGATCGCTCTAAGAGCAGCTTCACCACGATCGCAATGACGGAGCAGGTGCTCCATCGCCAATGGCACGAGATCCAATGTCGACTTCCGGTCCGCTGCCAATGAGGCATGACTTTGCGCGGCATTCGCAGGAATGCTGTCACGCCCTCGATGTTTGCCCACTGCAGTTCAGAGAAAGCACTGACGCCGATCACATCCTGGAAGCGTGCCATAATAATGTCCAATGGGACACGCTTTTTGATGGCGTCGTCGCCCATGTCAAACGTCGAATTCCACCTGGTCGGCAAGTCCTGGTGAGTCGGCTCCTTGCTGTCGAGCTTGGCAATCTCGGCCTCACGGCGGTACGACTGCCGGACGACCTTGCTGCGCCTGATATAGTTCGGCGTTGGTCGACTTGATCAGTTTGAGAACTTGGACGATGCTGATCTGGACCGAATGATCCGCGCAGCGAATATGGTGGCAAGCCCGCAACTGCTCATATCCGGCATCCGCGTTGACCAGGGCAAACAACGTCTTGACAGCACTGATCGCATCGGAGCCATTGTCGCTGGTGACAGCGAGCAGCTTGGTCGAGACATTGTGGTCGAGACAATACAATAATAGAAATAAGTTACGAGAAAGCAGTCCCCCGCTCCTGTGCAAAATGTTGTGAACCAGGCAGCTCTTACTGAGCGTTCGCTCACCCGTGCGTGCGTGGTAGTGATATTGGTCATGGGGTGTGCACTGCATGCAGTGCTTCTCAACTTTTTGAATTCCAAGGCACCGCGCACGCTTTCGGGCTGGCTCGATCTTCGCGGTACACACGCAACTAAAACATCACGATGGGGCCCGGGTGGCTGGGTGGGAATTCCTCGACTGATCTTATCGAGAACAAGGAAATCAAATGGTGCTGAAATCTGTGACAAGAATTTTCCCAGCTGCATGAGTGCATTCGTGTCTGTGTGAATTTGTCCATATCTCTGCGGGTCTGTGTCTCTGTGTCTATATATTTCTGTGTATGTGTAGGAGTTTATCTGTGGCTGTGTCTCTTTGTGTCTCAGTATTTGTGTTTCTCCATATGTGTCTCTGTATTTGTATGCTTGGTGTGTTGAAAGAGCCAGAGAAAATCTGAAGAAATCTCCCCCCCCACGACGGCGTGTGGGAAAATGTACTTAATAGCCTCTATTGTGTGTGCACGCTATTATTCCTTACAGCTAATGAAATCGATAGCCAATTTGTTGTATTGATATCTCTTGGCCACTTTTGATCGTATCAGGTGTGGAAGTGTTTCAAATATCTACGTGATGCACCAACATTCCAGTTAACAAATGCCAGATCGTAGGCGTGTACCACTGCATCCAGATTGAAAGGCAAACAAAAAGATTAAACTGGTCCAGTGACTGTATACCCCAAACAAAACATTTAGGCGAATTAACTAATATTCCGTGTTGTCTTCATAATAACAACTACATTTTGTATAAATTTTAATAAAAAAACACGGCGATTACTCAATGTGTTTCTAATAACATAATGACCTAGCAAATTAAAAGCCAAGTTAAAGTGACTCCCTGTTCAAACAGTGTCAGTGTTCACCTCCGCTGGTGACCTTAAGCCAGTGGAAGATATACGCCATACCTACGGTGGGGGGCAGTATCCCTGTAAAACAGCCACAGTTATATTGCAACAAAGAGGTAGATACTTTACTCATTTTATCAACCAACTGGAGATAATAGGCCAAGTCAAATACCAACCAGGATGTGATCTTCTGTGTTTGCATAACGACAGAACGTTGGGCACACTCCTACGTTTCCAATGCACAGCTTTGTAAGCCCTCGAAAAATAAAACATGAATAGCCCACCACTTCCCACCTGCTGACACCCACCTGATAATAAAGATGCTGCAACGTCTTTATTTGGAATGAATCAAGTATTCATTTGCATATGAATGTGTCTGCGCGTTGGACTTCTCCATTCTGTTTGCCCTTGGACGTCCCACGTGGGCAGCAGATTCTGTATAAAAGCAAAGAGGTCCCAGCAGTGAGACACGGTAGTGGAGAGGATCCACTCGTGATTGAGAAGCCCCAAGTCTTCAAGAAGCTCAAAGTCATCGATCAATCATGCTCGCCTTTCTCGTCTGCGCTGCCCTGCTGGTTGCAGGTGAGTGCTGCTCTTGCTGTCATCTTGAGCTGCTGAGTGATTGCAATGGACGCATTTGATTAAGTGGAGCAACCGTTCTGGCTTCAGAAACTGGACTTAGTTCTATCGGAAGCTTCTGGTACGTGGATTAAAACATTTGAGATAATGCCGAACAGCACAACATAACATTAATCTCTCGGATAGTAAACAGAGATTCATATATATGTGTGTGCTTTTGTGCGGTAGGGCGAGCGGTAGGGTAGCGGTTAGCCTCCTGCGCTACGAACCTGGCGGCCCAAATTCGATTCCCGCTCTTGGCCAACACCAGTGACGATTATCTGAACCGGTTCTGGGCCTCCCCTAGGTCGACTCAGCCTCAAATGAGTACCTTGCCACTAGGGAAACAAAGGCGGCCGGGCGTGGTGTTGGCCACCCACCTCTTAATGTGTCGTGCAGGCCTTTATAGGGGCTCGCTAACAGAACTTGCTCCAACAATCTGTTCAGGCTATACGGGGGATTTTTGTCTTAGTGTGCTTTTGTATGTGTGCTATTAGTTTAGTGTACTATTGTGTGTGTGCTATTATTCCATATAGCTGAGGTGTCTGCTCAGAGCTGTGGGATCGCAGCGTATCCGCAGATCCGGGTGGTGAACGGCGTGGAGGCTCGCGCCAACTCCTGGCCTTGGCAGGTAACGGCAGAGGCTGAATAACAGCCATCACAGCCACACGCTGCATTGTCAGTCGATCATAGTGCAGCAGCATCCATTGTTGTACATGCCACGTGGAGGCCCCCATCCAGCAGTGGATTGACAAAAGCACAGTGGTTTACGTATTTCACTATGAACCAGGCTACATGAGTTACACTCCCAGCGACTGCTAACATCAGTGGCGATTAAATCCGAACCAGTCCCGAATTCCATCCTTTCATAACCAGCAATGACGAATATTGAGGCATGGTCATACCGACAGTGGATTGGCAAACAGGCTAAGATAGGACTTTATTACTAGATATATAATTTGTAATTAATTTTGGAAAAATGACAGTAACTACCACCACTTTGCTGTGTGTGCATTGCAGGCGCTCGTGCAGAGGTACTCTGGAGGAAGATGGGTCAACTACTGCGGAGGAACCCTCATTGATAGTCAATGGGTGCTCACCTCTGCGAGCTGCTTCACGTGAGTCACGGCACCAGTGGCGTCTCTATTGTGTGCAGGTGGTGCAACTGCACAGGGGCCCAGGTGTTGTACAGTATTTCCTGTACAACATTGCGGCCACCAAAGGTGGAGCAGTGGATCTTGGAGCAAAGAGGCAGCTTCTATAAATGACCTTTACACGATGCCGCAATGTGGCAGTGAAAATACCATGCTGTAACTCGCACTATTTATGTTTAGTAATTCTTCACTGCAATGTTTACAGGTGTAAGTGATTAAGACCGTCCGTCGCTCTGTTATCTCCCCACATCCACCACAACGTGCAGGAGTGGCTACAGCTACAGGGTGGTGCTGGGAAAGCACAGTGTGTCCACATCCGAGTTCGGGGAGGTCACCCCTCCATTGAGCCTGGCCGTCTGGCATAGCTACTGGAATCCCAGCATGCCGGCGAACGGGTGAGAACGCACATGGGCTACGTGACACCGTGGCATTTAGAGTTGCAATAGACAGACATACATACAATCAGACAGACATGCACATGATATATTCAGACGGACAAGAAATAGATCTAATATTTTTTACTCACAAAGTTATTAATTGACACTGCCTTGAAGTGCCAAAAAATCTAATTTTAATATAACTAGAATTTTGGCGACCTGTGGCCGCCTTATTCTAACTCCTGCCTACAAATGAAATCTAGACTCTATTTAATGTAGGGAGTATAGGCATATATGTCTACAAAATATGTCTTTTTTTTGGGGGGGGGGAGTGAAAATAATTGGGGGGGGTCGACAATTGTTGTAAACTTCTGGGGGGAGGGGGGGTTCACTTTCTCTATCTCTTTGATTCAGCCTCCTTCTGAAAGACTCTAATAATTTAGTTGACGGACAAACAAACGGACACATGGAACGCCGGGCTTTCATAATAGATATTTTAGGGAATGGTAATTTTTCAACTGTAGAATTTTATGATAGAAAGCAGTGATAATGACAAGGCGATTAGTTGTCTTGATTTGTACTCGTACGCGCTGAACCCCCATTGCTTGGTGTTATGTTCGGTGTTGAGCGTCGCATCACAGCTGCCCCTGCCTCAATCCCCCACAGGTACGACATCGCCATGTTCAAGATTGCGTCACCTGTGGCTCTCTCCAGCAAGGTGCGCCTCGCCTGCCTGCCCAGCCCCAACCAGATACTGTCCAACAACTACCCGTGCTACGCCACGGGCTGGGGATCCCTCGACAGTGAGTACCGTTCACTCAGTGTCCATTCAGCGCAACGTGACAATTTCCCCTGCAGATTAACGAGATGAAGATGGCTGTCACAAGTCACATTCTAGGGTTGACTCAGCCCTTAATATTTTTGGGGTTGAAAAAAGGAACGCAACTCTGCATAGTCAGGAGTGGGAAAAAGCCTGCCAGTAGGGTGGCGGTGTTGCTATGTGGCCTTTCCCTTCTGAGCATAAAGACAGCGACGGTTCGCTTGGGGAGCGCCTGTTAACGCCACCTAACTCAGATGTTTTCACCAACGCTCTCCATCTTCACATTGTCTGTGCATGTGAGCAGCCAGCGGCCCCTTCCCCAGCGCGTTGCAGCAGGCCAGCCTGCCCGTGGTGGACTACGCGACGTGCAGCCAGCCCAGCTGGTGGGGGAGCAGCCTGAGGAGCAGCGTGATCTGCGCGGGGGGCAGCACCCGCTCTGCGTGCTATGTGCGTATGGAGTTGAACGCGAGCCAACCCGCGTCAATTCCTTAACCAAAATTACTGATGAGAATAGTTGTCAACAAAATGTTTCCTTTAAATCTTAATTTAGTCAACAGTGAGTGGACAACAATCACCAAGCATGGTGATGACTTTGACCACTAATATCACTGACTGGCTCACCTGTCAATGTTGGGGGAGCGAAAGGGGCGCACATTCACCTCAACAAATAATAACTCGGGTCGACAAATAGTGTGACTGTTTTAATTGCCTCGAATAACAGAATGACTAAATTAAATCCACGGACACTAAGAATGTATTAAAATCCCCACAGACTAAGTTAATGCATGACTGTATTAACACAAATCAAATGTTGACTTGTCATATTTGGTAGCCAGACACTGCCACGTGTATCTAGCTGCCAGAGTCGTATGGGGCAAGACACAGAAAGGCGTTTTGGGCAATGGGAGGGATCAGGCTTCGGGGTTGTGCGATATAACTCTGTTATTTAGCAACACGGTCCGAAAGCACACTTGCAAAGTTTGATCATCCAGACACCGATACATGAGCTCCAATCTCCTGTACTGAACCTTGCCAGCACCCACCACCATATCCCGTTGCTGCTTTACCCAGTTAACGGAGATGCATGTCTATCCTCTTGTATGCATCACAGGGTGATGGAGGTGGCCCACTGAACTGCCAGCGGTGGGACAATGCTTGGGTGGTGCAGGGAATCACCAGCTACATATCATCTCTGGGTTGCAACACGATCCGCAAGCCCACCGTGTTCACCCGTGTGTCAGCCTACACGAGCTGGATCAGCGCTGTGAGTGCCGATGATGTCAATGTCAAATTGTCAATGTTATTTCCATGATCTTGCTGTCAATGTCAATATTGATGCTATTAATGTAGCGATGTCATTGTCATTATCATGCAAATGGTAGTCAAAATCATTGTTAATACCACGTCACTGTCAAGGTCGTTATTGTTATTGGTCTCATGAATGTGAATATTATTGTCAATTTTGATATTGTAAATATCAATGTAGGTGTCACCTACAAACTTTTAATTTATCAGGAAAACGTTATACGGATGGGGCATATGTGGAGGATTGAAATGGACATGTTACCAAGACAAGCATTGACAGTGGAATCCAGTGGTCAAAAACTAAAGGGAAACATTAAAACCACAAGATGAGTCAGGTGTTGAGTGCAAATAGAAGCCATGGCACAGTGTGATGACCTTTTAATCGATCATAAAGCAAAGGTGGCATGAGTAATCAGTGTGGCTAGTTTCGTCCAAGGTATGATTGCCATCATGTTCGTTATCTGTAGGTACTGACTTTCAAACACCACCCATTTTCCGTTTCTCCCGCAGGTTATGAGCGTGTACCGTGAAGCCCCGAAGCTCGCGGAGGGAGAGCAGAGCATCAACAGTGGAGTCAATGCCACAATTGCCGCATTCAAGAAGCCACAGGCTTAAAGCTTCACGCTCTTTACATCAATGCTACCACTAACCCTAGAATTACATTTTCTTGTTACTGGTATTCCTTGTTGCAATGTGAGACCGAGCATGTGAGCACAGAATGGGTGGTTCGATTAACTGAGTTTGTTTGGCCATACTAGACATGTTACCAGTGTTAATGATAACATAATTTGGCACTTAGATCAGATGTTGAACAGTTCGTTATTTTGAAAAAAAATGTGGCAATACCAACATGAAAAATTTACATCCAGTACTGAATATACATCTTTTAAATTGAACGTCCACCATAACACTGTCCTTCCCATACCAAGTTAAAATCTTCTATTTTTGTATAGACACTGTTAAAAACATATTGCATATACAATACCATTCGACTGATTATAAATGCTAAATTTGAACAAGCCACTAAATTCGCAAAGTATGTATTCCCAAGCAACAGTTCGTGCTGCAAGCTCACCGGACCATTGGGCCACCTTTAAATGTCTTGTTTGCTTCACTTGTACAGTCCCTACATATCCAGTGTATTGAATCACTTGAAATGAATGTCATTTAAGTTTCAATATATAGGTCAAGGTCAGGTAGTATGTGCAATTTCTTACAATATCGATTGAGTCAGGATTGGATCATATCATGGTGTATTGTAGGAAGAAAGTTGATTGAGGGTCATACAGCATTATAAAGAGAATGTCTTTTTAAATGATTAATGTTTTGTTAATTTGTCATACTGCAGTGAGCTCTATATATTTCTAATCTCATGGTGTATAGTTTGGATTGGTGCAAAATAAAAATGCCAACAAATCTGATTGAATGAAATTATTAGTGGACTGTTGTATGTAATGTGTTGTGAAAAAAGTATATAATAAAAGAAAAAATACGAAAAAATACGAAATTATGCAAATTAGGCTAAATAATGAAATGTGTGTGCAATTAATGTTAATTGATGTTAATTGAGTGTAAGGGTAACGTGATGAATCATGTGTGATAAAATGCGCGTAAAATGTTAAGTGAAAATGTATGTATATAATGTGTATTATCAACGTGTTTGTGTGCTGAGTGTATGTGTATTATTATTAATGTGTGTGGGTTTGTATTATGATCAATGTGTGTGTAGTTACGTGTATTATTGTTGGTTCTTTCGTTGGCTAGGGGGATGTATTGTGTGTGTGTGATGCTTGGCTTCGTGATCTAGGGGTGTATTACCAAACGTGATAATACAATTGTAGTGAGTTCTTGGAGACACTCGTAGAAGCCACGTATTTATTATATATAACGCACAACAGTAACAGCCCTCTGTACAGCCTAGGAACACAGCCTCCGATCCCAACGTGCCTACACCGGCTACGCTCTCAGGCTGGGAGTCTCTGGGTCTCACCACTGGCACACAGAGCCCCGGCCCTTACAATGACAGCGGGGCTAGGGGTCCCAGGGTCCTAGGCTGGCTGGTCTTCTGGCTTCTTTCTTGGACTTTGGACTAGCCTCGAACCTCTGGAGAGGTCCGCTTTTATACCCCTTCCCAACGGAGGGGTGGGGTCCTGGGGGATCCTAAAACACCCGCAGCCCCTTCCCGTCAGGAGGGGTCGCGGGGAATCCCAGAACACCCTGCAGCCGCCTCCTGCTTTTGGGTTGGGGAATGCAGTGGCCCATCAGGGGCGGTACGAGGTACCGCCCCTGATGGGCCCTGTCTACCACTGCAGGTAAGTGCAGCCCATCTACAGCGCTACACATGGATTCTCGCTTAAAAATTCTTGATTCTCGCCTTAACTTTGAAAGGTCGTCTATAGACATGTCTGCAATACTGACGAAGATGTATTTGATGAGATCATCCGTTGCCACCATCTGCTCGGGGATTGGATTTTGCCCTCTTTGAAGATTCCCAGCACTGGGGAAAGGTGCCTGTTCCAACTTTAAGGAGCCATTTGTTGTGCTCATTTTGTCCCTCGCTGCACATGTTTGTCGTAAGCATGAGCTGCGTGAAGTTCTTCCACAACCGGCTTGCCTTCATACAGCACTCAATGATGTCTGTTCGTGTTCCTCGCTGCATAATGGGAAGAGTCTGTCGAAAGTCGCCGCCTACAACGAAATGGTTCATCGTTGCCCATCACCTCGTGCAGGATCTTGTCAATGCAGCGAAGTCCGTTTTTTGGCAGCATAGTAATTTCGTCGATGATGATGAGCGAAGCTTTGTGCAGAACTTCGGCTTGTAGTGATGCAGGCCGCATGGAAAAGACTGAAGTGTCGAGCAAGGAAACTGAAAGTTTTAATCCACTGTTAAGAGTACGTCCTCCTTTGAGCATTGTGCCGGCGATGTCTGTCGTTGCAAATGGCAGTGCAAGTTGTCCTCGACCTCGATGTACGCCATGAGAGTTGTGTAGAGGAAGGTCTTGCCCGAACCTCCGGGACCGTCGAGATAGAAGCATCGGTTCATCACATTCTCGTCATCGACAGCCTTGATGATCTTGTTGAACGCGTCGAGCTGCTTCTCGTTGAGCATCGCGAGACGTCGTGCACCATCGTTTGCTTCCTCAACTTGGTCATACACATCTTTTTCCGGTGGGATTCCCTTTTGTGTTGGCAATCCAATTTCTTTGCAAAGAAATCCGTGCTGCAGCAGGACGCTGTTGATGTCGTGAAGTGCTTTGTTGATGGCGGTGTCGTCGGCATCTCTTCGCATGTAGTCGCGAGCTAAATCCAGTTTATGGTCCTCCCACAGCATGAGAGGTGATGCGGGCTGAGCGAAGCAGCAGATGAAAGCAAACATCTCGCGCAACTGCTTCGACATCATGTAGGTGTCGGCATTGTAACATTGTTGAGATTCACAATGTGCTGCATGAATTCTCTTGAGCGACTCCTGACTTTGCTTGCCCAACCATCTTTGCTTTCGTTCGTTAGCCTTTCGACACTTTTTTGCAAGGGGATCTTCGTCCTCGTCCATAATTTGTTACTGGAAGTGAAAAAAAAATCTGTTATGGAACATTATTGAAGGCCTCTCCTCGCTCTAATCTCTCTCTAGCAAGTGTTCATCATATGCATCATACAAAGATAGATAAAGTCGTGCGCTTACCAACATAATCTGTCTGTCCCTGCGACTTGTTGATTGTGATAGCGTATGTGGGGAGAATGGGAAATTGTCGCCAAACAAATGGCAAAGTCGTGTCAGTGGGGGCCAAGTCGATTCTGGGAATCGATTCGGGGAATCAACACGAATCGCCTCGTTCTGCAGATTGATTCCAACGTAATCGAACGTCTGTCCGTACGCCTCCGTCGTTCAAACCTACGCGCCTCCTGCATGAAAACGACGGGAAGTGCAGCGTTCATCACAGATAAAGCTCGGCATTTATATATGCAGGACTCTTACTGACGCGACAACTTCTTTGTCTTTCTCGTTCCTTTTATTTCACATATAGTTCACATCTCCGACAGCATCGTTCAATGTTCCTCCATTCGCTCGCTCCGCTTCACCGCTTTGCTCGCTCTCTCTCTCTCCACTCAGGTCCGTCACTGTGCTGCTCGCTACGCTGTAATCGCTCCGTCCTTGATACTCTCTCCGTACTTTCTATATCCACTGCTACCGTATACTGTATTCTCTTTGTCCACTGCTACCTTATACTATACACTATTATCCACTGCTACCTTATACTATACACACTTATCCACTGCTACCTTATACTATACACTCTTATCCACAGCTACCTTATACTATACTCTCTGTTGCTCCGTCTCTGTCCCAGGCACCGTCTCCAGCTGCGACTCCATCGCTAACTCCAACTGCGACTCCAACACTCACAATCGACCCCCGTATCTCCATACGCTCACTCCTTTATCCCTGAACCAATCAGCCCCAATTAATTATGTCATCCCCCGCTTCGCTACTCGCCCCCAGGCCCCCAGCCTCACGTGATGTCACGTGATGTTGTTTTTGTAGACACTTACCCTCTCGACCAATCACCGGCCTACGTCCTCAGTTACCCTTAACACCTGTGGCGTCTCTTAATGACCTCCCCCTGAATTGGCGCAACAACAACTCTATGTCCTCAGTTGCCCCCCACTGTCCGTTGCAAGCTCGCTCCGCAACCAACCGCGTGGCGCGTGTCATCTCAGGTCCTACATATATATAGATGCCTTCGCACACCTCTTAGCCTCTCACAACTCTTAGCTGATCACAGTATTATATGAAAATGCATTCGCACACCTCTTAGCTTCTCACAACTTTTATAGCTTAGTACAGTACAATTTATCGCAGTAGTTAACGCTGAAAGTGACTCAAAACATAACGTAGAATAAAACTTTCAGAGATACTCAGAGTCTGTCAACGCAGAACTCAACACTTAGCAACACAGATCCGTTTGCCTCTGCAAGACTCGACACCTAAAGGTTGATTTCGAGGACCATACCCCAGAGCAAGACTCTTTACATTTGGCTGGTTACATGTGCCCCCCGGAGTTTGCCGTTGCAACACTAGTTTGTGTGGTTTGGCTTCCTCCTTATATCCGATATTTCCCTGACATTTCCCGACTTTTGCTTCCTTGGGTCAGCTGTTGGCCTTTTGAATTTCTTCTCCGCTCCGCGGTCATCATTGGTCAGTTGCTGACCTTACGATATTTTTTCCTCTCACAAAAGCGCAGATGTTCCTTTGAGGTCGTGGACCTTTTGTCCGCCGGGTGTGTGGCTTGTCTGTTCTAGTTTATTTCATTATTCTCCTAAGCCACATCAAGGCCCGAAGCTTCTCCCACCTTTGCACATGTGGTGGTTTTTTTATGGACCTTTTTATCTGGCTGCCCAAATATCCTGAGCCAGTGATTGTCACTACGGCCATACTTCCCCCCTTCCTCTGAAGGTCCTCTCAAGGCTTGTGGACGCAGATATTCTAAGTTGCCCCTAAGTGTGGTGTGTCTGTAGCCTTGTTTATTATGAAATGGCCTTCCCCCCTCAATAGGTCGGCTCATGCTTAGAAATGAATTCCTGCTGTAGCATGTAATGACAGCCACTGGGAGCACAAAGGCGGTTGGAAAGGCTCTGATTATACCCCTGGAATACATGTTATT